TTCCACAAAATCAGTGATTTGTCCCCAAACTTCCAAATCCAGTTCCAAACTAACATCATACTTTTCACCTTTTATAGGAACTAACAGCACAATCTTATCAAGAGTCAAATAGGAGTAAATTCAAGCTAAAGGAGCAGTTGAAAATGAGTTAACCATGTCAGTTTGGGGTGACCTTCACAACATTTCACTGCCAAAGAATCAGCATTTATAAAATATTCAGTTCTTGGAGAAATTACAAGCAGAACCCCCCCAAATTTGAAGTCTGCATAATCAGAAGTTGCTTAGGAAATTCTTGGCAGCCGTGTGCCCGTAAGAACAAAGCTACATCTGTGAACAACAAGCCTGAGGAACACGTTCTGCAAACCCCTAAATTCTATTTCCAGCCTCGAATACAGACATTTACAAGCAATTCTGCCAGTAACCAGCAGTAATTTTAGTGCAATGTTTGTTTCCAAGTTCTTGAAAGCACCTACTCTGTGTAAAGCACTGGGAATAGCAACTACCATCTTTGCCCTGTCTACAGCAATTACATTTCCCCCCCCTCCTCTTAAAGCTCAAAAAATGAGGCACAGACTGGATGGAAAGTGAGGAAATTTTTCTGAATTCTTCCCCTTTCAGCATATGGCTCTGTTTCAGTTTTTTTTCCAATCTAGAACAATGTGCTGTACAGGAGACAAGATGATGAATGCTTGATTTTGGGCTCGGTTAAAACAAACAACTTTCTCCAAAGGCACATGCTTTGTTTCAAAGTGACGTTTGGTGAAAGCCTGGGTGTCCATATTATGTTACATCACTGCAGGTCAGCTCTGAGCCTGACACATGGGAAAAAAGGGAGATTTCCCTTAACCCTCACCTTGCCACAGCCCCTGGGTGCTCTGAATGTTCAGGGTCCTTCTACACCATTTCCTAATCTCTTAATCAAGGAGTTACAAACTTAAGTGATGCTGAGGATTTTGTTTGTTGAGAATTAATAAAACACAGAAAATCACCCACTAAGATTAACCCAAGAAAGAGTATTTCATAATTTCCTTCATCAAGAAAGCTTTTCTGATGCTGATGTGCTGAAATCCATCATTTTTTCATATCAAAACTCTCAAAAGACCCTGTCTGGGTCTCTCAGAGGCTTTAGTGTCACATCCCCTCCTTCCCAGCACATTTTACAGGGAAAGGCAACTTTAAAAACTTGTTATTTTGTGTGATAAATGTTCCCCTGTACTTCCAGGCTCCACTAAATTCACATTTAAATAGATGTTTAAGGAGGTCAGAGTTATTTATGCTTTCAGGGTTGAATTAGGCATCCAAAGCCACATTTTGGCTTCCAGCAAAAAGATGGGAGAGCAGAGGGATGTGCTGGGGTACAGGTGGGCAGCACTTCCCAAAGGGTGGGGATGGAGCCAAGGGAACCACCCCACAAACCATGGGGGAACCACCCCACAAACCATGGGGGTATCACCCCACAGACTCCAGGGGTATCACCCTACAAACCACAGGGGAGTTCCAGATAAACCTGAACCATAAAACCTTGTCAAGCACTGCTGTCTCCTTGGGAAGCCACCAAAAGGCTGAAAAGACACCAAATAACACAAATCTAGCCCAGAGTTGCTTGGGCACAGCTCTTACCTGCTCCTGTGGAAAGCCAGTCCCTCCTCCAGCAGCTCCTGGGAGCTCTGTGTCCCTTCCCCATCCCTTTCAGAGGATTAAACCTTCTCATCACCTCCCAAATGAACCCAACTGGGCTGACCCCAGTGCATTCCTTAACCCCTTCTGTGCCCTTTGGCACCTGCAGCCCCCCCTCAGCAGATTGACATGGACAAAACCTCATTTTTACTTGGCAGTTTGACTGTGGTAGGACTGTGTGGAAGCAACAAAGTGGGAGAAGAGAGCCAAAAAATTACTTTCAGGTGTAGTCACAATGGCAGTAAAAGCATTTGCATGGATTTAGTGTCACTGGAATTAAATCTGTGCAGCCGTGTCTCTGGCAGGGCTGCCCCACTCACTGCTGGAAGCACCAAAATCCTTCTGGTGGGGCCCAATCCTGGGTTCTTGGGATAAAGAGAATTTTTTCTGTAACACCTAAGGCTGGTTCTGCTCTGTGACTGGGGTTGTGAATATTGATACAGCCTTTTGTGGCAATAAACAAGGAGTAATAAAGTTATCTAGCCCTGATTACTGAATTTGATGAAGGGTTCCTGAACAGGGCATTTGATAATTATGTGCCTTTTTCACTTTGTGAAGCAGTGGTTAAAAATAATAATTTAAAAAATATATATATATAAAAAAAAGATTGCTTCAGCTCAACTTTACAAGCAAATTTTTCACAAGCAATTCTTTTCCTTCACTCAAGGCAGCCAATGCCAGGGCTCAAAAGAGAAAGCTTCCTGTGATGACAGAGTCCCAACATTCTGGGCTACTTCAGTTTCATTTACCAAAGCAGTAAAATTTCATCCTATACCAGCTCAGAATCTATTTTTCCAATGGACTTGAAACTGCTGACAGCAAAGAAAAGTGAAAACTCTGCACCTTAATCCCCATTTCCCTTCTGTTTTCCAAACAACTCCAATGAAGCAATCCCAGACATCCCTCAACTTGGTGGACACAAAGATGAGTCTGCAAAATTCTAATTGTGTTTTAAATGCCATTGTGTTCAGTCTGTCCTCCCCGTTCCTGTGCCCTGTGATGAGAATAAAGGACCTTGCTGTGTGTAAAGGTGAAGGGGCAGTGGTGGATTCTGCATCACCTGCTCGCTCTGGGATGTGATAAAGAAAGAGTTTGGACTTTGTCCCTTTCCGGTTTAAACTCAAATCTCTGGTGCTTCCTGTGCAGGAGGTTCTTTCCTCTGCCCTTCAGCAGGTGGCAGATTTAATAGGAAATGATTAAGTAAAAGCAAAGAGTGGTGATAAGAGGTTTATTCTTCTTCGAGGCTTTTGATAATTTGTTGTCAGAAAATGACACCACTTTAAGGAATTTGTCTGCATCTTCAGCCTCTGTCAGGGCTGCTGCAGAATTTCCTGTTTTTGTGTTCTCAGAACTGCTGAGCTGCTGAAGTTGCCAGTAAATCCCAGGGTGTGTTATCCAGAAGAGGTGGAGTCTGTACAAATCCAGATTCTTCATTGATACTCTCAAAGAGAATTCAGAGCCATTCCAGCCTCACCCTGGGGTCAGTCCTCACAGCCACAACCCCTCTGTGTTTATCTCCTGCAGGTATTTCTCATCCTTCCATGCAGGAAACCATGCATTTTGTTGCATGAGTGGCTTCAAAGCCAGCTGTGAACATTTACATCTGAAAAGGTATTCAGGTGCTGTTCTGGGGGCAGAGCTGTGAAACACAAACCCTGGAAGTCAGCTCCTGCCTCAGTGGGAGCAGACTCAGCCCCTAAAGCAAAGGATCTTAAACTCCCAAGGAGCAAGATCCTGGTCAGACTCCCTACTCTGAGGGTAGCCACAGGTCTGGAATGGTCAGCAGGGGGGGAGTTTGTGGTTTTTAGGCACTCTCAGAGGAGTCTGTGGCTCTGCAGCCCTCCCTGGGAATGCAGGGAATAGGAGCTCAGCTCCTGGGAACAGCAGGATGGACACCGGGCACTGAGAACCTCACTGGGAACCTGCTCTTCCTGAGGGGTAAATAAACCTCTGTGTGCTCTAAGCCAGCATTTCTGAAACAAAAACTTGCAATTTTGATCTAGTCCCTTTTATATTTACCCTTTTTATATTTAGAGGTTTAAAATCCTTCCAAAATGCCCACATGAAACACACCCTTAGATCATTGATCAGTGTCATCTGCTCCAAAGATCCTGTGCATAAAACCAGAGTTTATTTGTTGTCAAAGGGCTCTAAATGCAGTGTAGTGCCTTGGCTGCTCTTTTCCTTTGTCCTGGGCTGCAGCCTCTTCCCAAACTTTGATTTCCAAATGACTTGTTCAGCTTTCCTGGGCCCAGACATGAAAGCCACACTTCAATGTTTCTTATGGTGTGGAACGCGGAAACTCCTCTGGGCTGAGGATGCTTCTCCTAAGACTTTTCTTCCTCTTGTGTCGTTCCTCCACGTGTGGCTGCTTTGTGGGAAGGCTGAGTGGCTTCCTCAGAGCTGCTGGTGCTGCTGTTAGCAGGAGGAACAAACAAATCCAGGCAGTTTCTGCGTGGAGGCAGTGCCAGCTCTCAGCGTTATTTCACTTGTTCTGCAATGGGAGCATGGAGGGCACCCACAGCCACACTCCCTTGGCTTGTTCCCTGCCAAGAGCATTTCCTGATCCCTCAAATCATCCCTTTGCCCAGTGATGGGCTCAGAGCACGAGGGCAGCAGCCCCGAACGCCTGGGAACGCAGAGTGCCCTCAGCACGGGCCTGCTCCCGGAGCAGGAGAGCTGTTCTCCTCCACAGGAGGCCTGCTCTGTCCAAATTACAGCATTAATTAACATCCACACAGTCTATAATATAGTAATATATATATATATTCCATATTTTCAGCCTGGAGAGGAGAAGCTTTGGAATGACCTCACTGTGGTCTCCCAGTGCCTGAAGGAGCTGCAGGAAAGATGGAGAGGGAGGATTTCCAAGGGATGGAGTGACAGGACAGGGGAACGGCTTCAAACTAATAGAGAGGAGGGTCAGGTGGGATACTGGGGAGGAATTCCTGGTTGTGAGGGTGGGGAGGGGCTGGGATGGAATTCCCAGAGCAGCTGGGGCTGTCCCTGGATCCCTGGAAGTGCCCAAGGACAGGGCTTGGAGCACCTGGGACAGTGGGAGCTGTCCCTGCCAGGGCAGGGCTGGCACTGGGTGAGTTTTAATGTCCCTCTGTGACTCGATGCTAATATAATTGATCATAATCATAATTTCTATTCTCCCTTGCTTTCCAGATGTAATCTTCACTCAAATAAAGAGAGAATAACATTTATTCCCTCCACAGGCAAGGCCTGTCTGTGCTGATTTATGCCATAATGTCACATCAATCATCAGACCACAGGGATGTAAATAATAAACTTTGTTTGAAAATTGAAGCAGCAACTGATTTTTTTTTCAAAGGGTAAGTATTAGTTTATTTAAAGATAAGGATGTCAAAATATACAGTATTGTATCATTAAGATCAGTGTTGATTAAAATGTCAGACCCCTGGTTCCCTGTACAGGCTAGGATTGAACGAACAGAAATCTTAATTTTCTGTAAAATTTATTAACTGTAGTTATTATGGGAGTCTTGTGAAGCAGAGAGCTGCCTGGGAAGCTTTGATTTTGGTTTTTATTAGGATTAATTACGACTATAAACAAATATCAGGATGAACAAGTAAGTTTCCTATGATCTAAGGACCATTAATTCCCGGCTGGCAGGCACAGCCCGGCGTTAGGGGACGTGGGTGCCCTCTTGTGTCCTATTAGAACTTTAAATAGCTTTTAATTTGTTATCCCACCTCGCCCGGCCAAGAGAGGAGCTGCCTCAATCACGTCAAGCCTTTGCATTTTAGCGTTTTAATTTACATTAATAACCAACAGGAAGCAGGACTTGATCACCACGGATTCTCTCAGGCTGAAGGGTTCAGCTTTGATTTCAGCTCCATCGAAACCCCACCAGAAGTGACTTGGCTGTTGTTCCATGGAAGCAGAAGATTTATCCAAGGGGATTTGTGTTTTTCCTGGCTGCTTTCAAGCTCTCTAAAGCGGAGGATTCTCTGCCTGTGCCTCGCTGCCCTCCTTTGTCACGTCCTTTGTTTTTCTGCCATTTATTGAATTCTCTGCCACCCTCGTGCCTGACTTACTCTCCCCTCTCCACACTTCAAACCACCCACACCACCTTACATTAAACACATTTCTTGGGGGTCTTTAGAGCTGCTTTCTCCAGGTGAGGAACAAACCTGCCAGTGACAAGCTGCAATGGTACCCCGGTGTTTGCTTCAGCCTCAGGCGTTTGCTGAGAGCCGTGGGAAGGAAAAGGAGGCATTTCTGCTGCCAGGAGCTCCCAGAGAGCTGCTGAGCCTCCCCTCAGCAGCCACAGCTGGGCACTACTTGGATTTCCCAGCGGGGAGGATGGACACGGGATCTGTCTGCACTTCTGCATCCGACATCCTCTTGGAGCCCTGCGGAACAGGAGAGACGCCTTTAGAAACATTTCCGAGCGTTTCAGAATGCTCAGGTCTGGATTGGTGTCTTGGACTTTTGCTACCAGATCTTTCCCATTGATTTAATCTCCCTGCTTCTCTTCATTTACCCTTTATTTAACATGCACAAATACATGAGCACCATCTGCATCATGAGAACCACACGAAGTTCCTGCCTGTGACTCTGCCTAAATGTGGGGGTTATTTTAATATAATTGTCTCAATTGGCATGGAAACAATTGTTTTCAGGAGCTGGACTCACCAGAGCCAGGCTGCTGCGTGTCTGTAGTACTGGAGTTTTGGCATAACTTTCTCTAAAATTTCCCTGCCCTAAACGCTTCACTGCAAGCCTGCTAAGAGTCCTTCAAGCATGATGAATGGTGTATTATAGCCAGCCCTGCTCTGCTCTAGGTTAAAGAACATTAAATACTTTTATGCATGACAGGTATTCGACAATGTTTGAGTCATAAAGCTTTTTTTATACTGCAAACCTAATTCTGGGTTTGGAATCGCTCCAAGACACTAATCCAGCTTAGATGAAGGAAATGTATAGCTCTAACTATACCAACTACATTTTTCATTAACTGATAAAAACTTGGCTCTGGTTTAAGGTGCTTGACCCAATTTTGCTGGCCTTGAAGCTGCCAAAACTTCAGCAACACGGACCCACAAACAGTGTTTGAGGTCACTGTTACCACTGTGGGGTGTCAGTGCTGTTTGTAGCCCAAATCGTGCCTTGCTAAGCAGAAAATCCAGCATGACCAAGCTAAAGGTGACCCTGTGCTTTCCCTAAGATAGGAACCAGGCAGAATAATGTGTGAATTGTCCTTTCCTGGAAACCTGAGTCACTACTTCAGGACGATTCTGTGTTTCACATGGAGAGTGAAAGGTCTCGACTTCCTCATCCCTTTCAGGGAAGTAAAATCAGCAAGGTTTTTACACTGATAAGGCTGCACCTCACTGATCTTCTTTTAATTTTTCACCTTGAAGGACCTAAGGATGAAAAAGAGCAGCCAAAAATCACAATGGACTGAAGAATCCCATCTAAAACTGATTGTAACCTTGTGCAGCTCAGCTGGCTGCAGTGGCTTCGCTTCTGCTTCCCCTGATGCTGAGTTTTGGAGGGTGCTCTAGAGCAGAATAAAAGGGTTTGGCCATTTATAGGTAGCAACAAATCCAACTTTTATCCATCAACCAATACTAAGTGAGCTACTCATCCCAAATTTACCCAGAAACCCTAAAAGCTTCCACATCAGGTGAAGATTTCCCCCATCACAGGAGCAATGGGGTGTGCCAGCTCCAGCTCCTGTCCGAGCAGGATGAAGTCACTGCCAGACCCAGCTAGGGAATAAACTGATACAATTTGCCTTTCCTCTTGTAAAGGGGTGGAGGGAGGAGAAGGAGAAAAGGCTCGTGGGAGATAATCCCCATTTTGCCTCATTTACCACTCATTTTACATTATTTTCTCACTGCACTCTGCAGCTGCACCCATTTTCAAGGTGGCTGCTGATTAAAGCAGGAAGATCAGACTGGCTGATGATTCTTGTTGAACTGGAATTTCCAAGCCCGGTGTGAAAGAAAGAACTTTGTTCTGCCTTATTTAACGGACAAATTCCATCTCTGCCCTGGGATTCAGGAGCTCAGGTACCACCAGCTCAGGGTTTGTGACAGTGAAGCTGGAACCTGCTGGTTTGAGAAGAGCATTTAAAAGTGCACACACAGCAAAATCGTGGTACAGGAGAATTTTCTTCCCCAAATTTTGCTCAGGAGAAGCCTGGGTCAGTGCAGCACATACTTTGCTCAGAATAAATCCAAATACTTTCCATGTGCTGAGCACTTCCAGCTTCTGACAACTGGACTATGAGTTATTCCAGCTCAGGAAACAATGTTAATAATCTTTTTTGTCCCCTTCTTTTTTCTTTCTAATCTAATCTTTCAAAGACTCCCTAAATACATTTGCTACATCTTATAAATTAATCTCTTTTACCATAGGAACAACCTTATCTGTGTTCAAAGCCTACAGCTGGGCAGTGATGCTGTTTGCTTGCATGAATGGCTCCAGTTGTAGCCAAAATTTCAGCATTTGTAGCCAAAATTCCAGCATTTGTAGCCAAAATGTCACATTTTTAGCCCAGCTGGGAGCAGAGGCTGGAGCTGCAGTGCTCTAATCTGCATTTCTGCTCCGTGCCATTCCCAGGGGAATCAGGATACAGGAGAGGGTGATGGTAAAATACAGAACAGGAGCTGTTCAGTGAGCATGGGCTGGGTGAGCTGCTGGATCCCCCCTTCAATCTCTCCTGCTCCCATTTGATCAACAAACAACTGGATTTTTCTGCTGAGTTGTTCCCAGACAATCGAGCTGTTATCTTGAACTGGCCATGCTGGCATGGGTTGGTGTGCATGATCTAACACTTTCAGATCAATGATTACACCTTCTGATCACCGAGGAGATGAGATTATTTTTTTAGCATTGCAGAATGAGTTTCTTAGCTCTTGGTAATCTTGGGGATATTCAAAGACAGGTAATAATTTTCCATGAGAGTTTTCCCATACTCAGACCTCATTGCTACGTGATTTGCTGCCACTTTGAAAGCACAATAAACTGACCAAATCAACATTACTGTTGTCAAAAATTCCTTTTTTTTAAGAGTTAATGGGAGAGGGAAGCTGCAGGAGCACTCTCTATAATCTCTAGAAGATAAGGGACTGCCAAACTGAGGTGAGCAGAAAACAAATAAATCCTACAGAACACCTCTACTTCCTCTACATTGATTCTGGTTCATTCCTCAAATGGTCTTTTTATCTCTCACTATCTCCTCCCTTGATCTAAAAGCTTTTCTTGCCCTTTCAATCTGAGCCACCTTTCCTGCCTCTCTGTGTCTTTCATGAATTTTGAAGGTGTTTCCTCACTCCTTCAGATCTCCCTTTCTGGAAGAATTCTGAATTTGGGTCTCTTGTTAAACTCACAAAGGACTTTGGATTTTGATCACCTCCCTTGAGTTTGAGCTGGCAGGGATTTTGGTTTGCAGGGATTTTGTTTGGCAGGGATGTGCCAGCTGCACCCCCATGGGGGAAGGCAGGTTCCTCTGGTAAACCAGCCCCATCTCCACTTTCCCTTAATTAACACCCTGTAATTTGTAGGAACTTTGACTCATCCCCATAGCCAAGGCCTGAACCCCAAACCCAGCGCTGTGGCAACAATTCCAGCTCTCCCTGGGCAATCCCTGCCTCCATCTGCACCCCAAGGCCTGAATTTTCCTTCCTTCCCCAAAATCTTGCTGTTCTTTGGCCCAGGTCCTGCTGGTGAAGTTGATGCACAAATCCCCCACGGATCAGCTGGAAAATGGCTAAAAAAGGAAGAGAAATGAACGTACAAGGCCTTTAAAAAAGCCTCCGAGGGACTGCCTCTTCTCTGTCTTCTTGTAGGAGGGTTCCTTGGCGTCTCCACCGTTCTGGATGGAGTCAGGATCAGCTGCTGGCTGCTCCCGGGGCTCTGGCTGCTCCCTGCCCTTCTGCTTGCCCAGCTCCACCGTGGACTTCTTGTCTTTGGAGCTCTCTTTGCTCCTTTGGCCCCCAGGGTCGCTCTCAGATGGGGCAAGAGGCTTCTCTGTGGCGTTTAAAGTCTGCAGAGGTTTCCAGCAGGGGTTATTTTTGGTGGGGAATAGAAAAAGATCAGAAGGAGATCCATAAATATGTTAGGGGGGATAAAAAGTAATTAAAAAAATGCAAGGCCACCTGGCAGGGAGGAATCGTCCTGCTGCCCAGCAGGTTTTCATTTACAGGGGTTGGGATGAGCTCCTGCAGTGTTGGCTCAGGGAAGGGCTCCCAGGGAGCTGATGGAATTCCATGAGCAAAGACTGCGAGATCAAACCATCCCTGCGTGGAACAAGTTCACTGATGTGTCTGCTGGAGGAGGCAGAGAGCATTGCAGAGTCACTGCCCACTGAAATACCCCCAGTGATTGCACCCCAAGCAGGGAAAGCACCCAAAAAGTGCAAGGAAAAGATTTGAGAGAGGATAAAAATCAAAAGACCCCATAAAGCAAAGAATGAAAACAAATTGCCTGTGAATGAGCAACACTCCACCCAAAAATTAACAACACAGGGTTTGGCTGTGGAAGGCCAGAACATCATAGAAAATTTCATGTACAAGTGCAAAAGAAGAGATGGGAAATCTTCCAAAAAAGCACAATCACAAAGCACCTGTCAAGAGTAAAGGGGAAGATTCTGGAACTCAGAGAAGTTCAGGATATATTTGAAGTTCACACAAGAAAAATCACAGGATTTTGTCTGCCTGACATCAAAGGCCCCATAGCAAACAAAGGATCAGACAATGAAATTGTCACTGTTTGGGAAGTAATAAATGAGGGTGTTTTTGCCAGGAAATCTGTTTGCAAATAGGGTTTTCTTTTTTCTTATTAAAAGAAAAACAAAAAAAACCCACAAACAAACCAACCCACAAAAAACAAACAAACAAAAAACCCCCCCACCAAACCCATATGGTTTACTTATTACCATCATTAAAACAGCACAAATTTGCCATGTTGAAAAGCTGGAAATCTCACATCTGCCCTCAGGCCATGGCCCTAGCTTAATGCTGTGTATTTTTCCAGCTTTGGGAATTTTACCATTAGTCTTGAAATATTTGGTGTTCTTCTGAAGGCCTGGGGTTATGTGCTCACAAGCCAGGCTTAGCTTTCATTCAAAACAAAAACATTTTTACATCTCATGATTTCAGAGAAAACCCTGAAAGCAGAAACTCTAGAGGAACAGAATGCAAATACACCTCTTGTATTTAAAAATAAAAAATGTTCAAGCCTGTCTAATTCTGGGGAAACAAAAATGAGAGCGGACAACAATCCTACTGCTTGCCTTTTTCACTCAATTCACCTTTTCTTGCTACTCAATCTTAAAAAAGTTCCATGTTTAAATCACAGAACCCATTTAATACATTCAGACTCAACTCCTCCACTGAGTATGAGCTTTTGGAATTATTTCTTTTTCCAAAGATAGATATAAGTGGGTCAATATTTCCTCACACCTGGATTTCTCTGTTCTTAGATGTAAAAAATCCAGTCAGCAGCTTGTCTTTGTGCAGGAGAACATGAAGGAGGGGATCAGCAGAGTTGTAATTCATCAAAGCAGATTCAGTGGGGTCAGAGGAGAGCAGAGGGGAGGTCTGGGGCTGCACAGACACCACACACACCCCACCTGTGTCCTGGCCACCTAAACTGTGTCCTGGTCACATAAACTGTGTCCTGGCCACTCCACCTGTGTCCTGGTCACCTAAACTCTGTCCTAGTCACCTCAACTCTGTCCTGGCCACCTAAACTCTGTCCTAGTCACCTCAACTGTGTCCTGGCCACCCCACCTGGGAAAGGACCCTTGGCAGTGCCCAGGGGATGCAGGAGCTCTCCCAGCACAAGAAATTTGATGTTGTCTCTGCTCAGTTAAACTCTGGGAGCTCTGAGCTGCTGCCCCAGCTGTTGGTTTCTCACTGGAATTTGCCTCAGCTGACCTTTGAAGTGATTCTTTGGTGAAATTGTAAACGTTCACCTTCTCTGCAGCACCAACCACAGCTCTGGGACTGAGCCCAGACACAGCTGAGTTCAAAGGGGCCAGAAGAGCCTGGAACCCTCAGAAACACTCTGTGAAATCTGTGGCTTTGCTCTGTGGGTGTAAAATTAGAGTTTCCCTCCCCACACGTGCCCGAGACTGCGCTGCAGCCAGAGCAGAACGGTCCCCATGGCTGAGAGCAGGTGGGGCCTTTGATGAAAGGCAGACAAAACACGTTTTAAAAAATATTCATAATGCATTTTCCAGGCAAAAAAAAAACCCAACTCAAACCCTATCAGATAATCTCTTTGAGGTGTTTCATATTAACCTTGAAAGGCAGGAAATGGGCATATTTGATATTGACGGGAGCAGCTCAGGAAATGCGGAGTGAGGCCTATGAATAATGAAAGATGTTAATGCTCCTTATTCCAAGGGAGAGCTGCTCCTGGCAGTTTGCTTTGCCTCCCTCGACATTAGCACTGCACTGAAATAAAGAAAGAAAAATGGACAGCATTTTCCTCGTTATCTCACAGGAGACCTTGGTCCAAGGCTGATTTTTAAGCGCAGGATTTTTGGAGCGGTGCTGAAATTTCTGGAGGGCGCAGAGGGGCAGGGATGGGAAGGGGAGAAGAATCACAGCATTCCAGAGACACTGCAGCATAATTGAAGGAACTCCTTTCAAAGAAATCCCCAAAAAAGGAAGAAGTCAGCAGCAGATCCAGTTTTCCTTGGGATCCTCTGTGGAATAAAACTGTTCTACTTTACACCAGGGCAGGGGAGAGGAGGAAGAACAATAAACTGATTTACAAAAATGGAAGGAAGCTGGCTGCTCTTTAAAACAATAAAATGGATCCAGGCTGAAACTTCTGGTGTCTTACCCAGATCACTTCACAAAACTCCTGTATGAAATAAGGATTAAGTGTCACAAGACAAGGCCCTTCTACATTTAGGATGTTTTTAGAGACATAATTCACAAAAATTAACCTTGATATCATCAGACATTGTGAAAATAAGAAGTGAGAGATATAATTTTACAGCTATTTGAAACAGGAAATTCTGAAATGTCAGTTTTGAATGCAGCTTCAGATCTGCTCTTAAAGGAAACTGTCTGTACACAGAACCTTGTTTTATCTCTCATTGCTGAGAGATGAATTCTTCTGGATATCTTCACTTGCAGCAGATGAGGGTTTGGCTCTCAAATTAACAGAATTTGTATTTCTAATGAAAATATGTTTTTTTCTGAAACATTTTAAAAGCCATCAAGAATAGAATGCAAATACCACACCCAAAGGTTGGGTTTAGATTTTATGAACACAGAACGAAGGAAACAAAAACAGATCAGGAAACAAATATTTTCATGGCTTTTGTTGCACTGCAGTGAACACTTTTCATTCTCACTTTCATTTCTCTTCTTTAGAGTTTCCACCTAAATAATTCTTTCCTCAGAAGACAAGTAAATCAACAAAGTAAAAATAATTCTGTGTGTATTCAGTTCCACTGCCTGAGTACTTGCAGAAAGTCAAAAAGCAGCAAAAGAGGAAGAAGACTGGCCATAAACACACTAATTATTTTAAGAAAAGGAACATATCCGGAAAAAGGTTTTTTTTAAAAAAAAAAGAAAAAAGATGCTGACTCTTTAAAATCTTGTTTAATGTTATGAATAGATAAAAGAATCAGATAAGTTGTGTGTAAATATATGAAGGTAAGTGAGTGCAGAACGTTTCTCTCAGTGACTTTTACATTTCAAGAGGTTGAGCTGTGTGGAAGGTGACAGGAATCCACCACCAGAGGATGAAAAAGTCCAGGCCAAAAAAGAAAAAATCCACTTACATGGTGTCTGGGGCTGGGACCATCTCCCTCTTCTGAACTGGGGGTCCCTCCATCACCTTTGACTGACTAAAATAACAAAGGATCCTGTTTGAGGCATTCAGTCAGGATGAAAACTCACAGGAATTAAAGTTTGAAGGAATTTCAGCAACTCCACTTTGGAAATATCCCCATCTCCAGGGTGGATTTTGCTGGTTCTGTTCTGTGGATTGTCTCTTGCCAGTCAGGTTTCCCATCAAGAAAAGCAAGGATCATTTCAGCCACTAAACAAGAACCTGCTGTCAGCCCTGTTGCTGGAATTTTCTAGAAAGAGCTTTTCCTTGCTTTTCAGAGCCAAATCTGTCCTTCAAGACCTAGTGGGACTTGCTCTCTATTTCTCCACCCTACTCAATGCATGTACTGTGAATAATTAAAGCCCACTCAGCTTTAGAAAGAAGTTTTGATATTTAATCCTGATTTTTGCTTTCCAGTTTATTCCTGCAGTCCTTAAATCTCCGAATAATAATTCTCCTCAGTTCCCACTTTTCCCAGCCAGGACAATCCAAGCAGAGCCTGAGGCTGCAGCACTGGAAGGTCACTCAGAGCAAATCTTGACTCTGAAATATCTTTTTAAGGTAAAATCCCATTTCCATCTAGTTATAAAAATGAGAAACCCCCATTTGACCAAACTGAGTAAATAGTACAAGCTTTGTGAGAATTGGCTTAAGCTTAAGTTACAATTAGTGCTACAAAAGAGACAACAGGAATGAGCATTTGTGTTTAAAAATGTGTTGGAGGGTTCAGGGTGTTCTCCTGGGTGCTACAGAAACCACAGAGCTCAGCAGCAAAGCGTAAAACAAACTGCAGGATTTCAGAGTGCCCAAATTTAAATGTCATTTTTCATTGCAGAAGTTCAATGAAAACAATGAAAGGATGTGACTTTTGTTCTAAATTTATCTCAGGCGGAACTGTGGTTTGCTGCAGCTCTGCATTTGTAACGTGAGGCACAGCAGCGCCAGCCTGATCCCACAGATGGGGTTACTGCAACCCAGAGCCCGATTTTCCTATGAAACCACGAAAATCAATACGTGGCAGCAGCAGGAGAGAAAATTAAACCACTCCATGACAAATGATGGCTTTTGTGGGGAAAATGCTGTCCCTGGAAGGTGCCACTGCTGAGCCTGGTGTGTGTTTGTGCTGGTGGAGCTTTATCTGCACGGGAGGAGTGATCTGTGCTGGGGACAAACCCGTCCAGAGTGCACGAAGATGGGCTGTGATAAGATCTACTCTGCATTTGTGTTTTAGCAAGTCCTCAAATGCATTTAGAAAACAAAAAATTCTGCTCTAACAGCAATCAGTGTTACCTTTCCCCCTATAAACACTCCAGACCCAGATAAAAACAGTCCTGCTTTAGCCAGCCTCTCTAACCCACCTGTTATTTTTATCATTATTACTATTTTCAACCAAAAATAACACAGCAAAGACCTTGAGGTCTAGACAAAGCTCCCTCTTGCTGCCAGTGAGACAAGGACAAATCAACCCCAAGGATTTCTCTCCAGAGCACTGCTGACCTCTTATCCTTGCCTCTGGGCACTTGGGCTCGCTGCTGGCCAAAGCTTCCCAAAAAGTTTTCTGCAGCAAGCAGGGTGGATTGGGACGATTTGAAATGGAGGAGGATGGGAACAGCCAGTAGTACCCTGCTACCTTTTCATGAAGAGTTGTGACAACATGTAATGGCTATTCTTGTTTCTAAATGCTATTTATTGCCTAAAAGTTTGATTATGTTGGGAAGAAGGGCAGCACAGGGACTGCAGATGGTTTGGGAACAATTTTCCTCATTTCTCAGGTAAAGGATTCCTCAGATTCCTCAGAATTACTCAGGTAAAGGATTCAATGCCCAAACAGGCAGATTTTTTTTTAAAAAAATAAATTTCTTAGAACCAAATTCAGTTCTCTGCTGCAGTTTTCTGGAGGGAATTTCTGCAAAAACATTTGGTCTCAGCAGGATCCCAGAGCCAAGAAGTTCTAAGCAAGCAGAAAGGAGCTCATTTGAGAAAGTTCAGATTTCACAGGTTATTGTAATTCAGCACATTTGTGTAAAAGGAAGCAGGATCAGATTCTACTTTGTGCCTTTCCTTTTTCCCACCTAATGGAGCTTTGCAGGAGTGACTCCCTCCTTTCCTTTCACCTGCCAGTTTACCCAACCTACCTAAACTGCCAGAAAAAGTTGTGCCACTAAGAACACAAGTCCCCGGAGCCAGCACAGGACAGGACACAGCACAGGGAGGTCCGACAGTGCCGTGGCCAGCGGGAGATGGATTTGGAGGCGGCTTTGGAGATGGGATCCTCCGGGAGCATGCCATCGGGGGATGCGGTTTGTGACACGGAGCATCCTCGGTGTGGCGACCCTTGGGGTTCCCTGGGAGGGGAAAGGGCCAGCGGAGCCCTCGGGCCGTTCCGGGAGGAGCCGCGAGAGGGAGATGCAGGACGGGGAATGCGCGGGGGGATGCGGGGAGAAATCCCAGCCGCGCATCCCCAGCGCCGCTCATCCACCCCGAGCATCCCTGCGCCCTCCTCCCAAAGGCAAAGTGCTTTCCAAGCCTCGCCCCGAGCCCTCTGAGCTTCAGAAGGGATAAACTGCTCTTACCAGCTTAAAAAACTTCCTCAGGTTTGCTTTGGGCGTTTTGCTCTCCGCCCCTCGCGGTTTCAGCTCGGTGCTCTCGGAGCTCTTGCTCTCGTCCCTGTCGGGAGTCACCGCCTCCAGAGCCGCCTCTGCCTTCTCATTGCTCACGGTCTCTGCTTCTTCCGAGGAGTTCTGTGGTTGGGAAAGAAAGTGGAAAAAACATCCACACTCAATCCCTGAGGAGTTGGTTGATTTCTTAAAAATTTTACAATCAAACAGGGCATAAAAGCATCCTCAGCTTCACTGTTCTCCTTGTGTTGCTTCAGGATTTGATTAATCCCAATTGAAAATGAGGAAATAAATGTTAGAATCCCACCAGTTGATATGAATGAAAGAAATTCCTTGAGTTGCAGTTCCCAAGCACAAGAATCGAGTTTAGATTACAATGTAAAAAGAATGAACGTGAAATTACACACAGCAATGTCCTGAGGAGATGAGGCCAAAGTAAATCCAGTAAATAGGAGAAAAATCATACTCAGGAATTTGCACTTCAGAGTAGAATTAGGATTCTTTTAAACACTAATGGACACTATTAACTGCTGAAACCTGGCCTTAGACACTTCCAGAGATGGGGCAGCCACAGCTTCTCTGGAATCTGTCAGGCACCTCCTGAGGTGATTCCAGGGAAGAATTCCTTCCCAATATCCCAAATAAACCTCCTCTGTGTCAGTCTAAAGCCATTCCCCCTGTCCTGCCACTTGTTTATTCTTATTTGTCACCACATTCCTTTATTTGGACTCTGTCACTTTTATAGTGAATGATGATATTTTCCATTCTCCTTTACTGCAGTTTTTCTGTGTGCTGTTGTCATTTCCCCTTCTGAGCAAATAAAATCCCAATTTATTTAGTCTTTCATCCAAAAGCCATCCAATATATTTACTCATTTTAGTTTTGTTATTACACCTTTTAGTTCTGTCATATTTTTAAGTTGCAGGGAGCTCCACATTCAGGAAGGGGACTCACCATGGATTTCTACAGCAGCAGGAGAGATTTTGTTTTGTTCCTGACTCCTCTTTTGTGGATGTAACAACATTTTGGGGGTGAGGCAGCAGGGAGAAGAATGATGAGGGAATAAATATTCCTTATCCCCTGCTGCCTGAGATAGCTGCAGCACATCCCACTTCCCTGTGGAATTGTAGATTTAATTTATATTTATGAACAGCTTCGAGATAATCAATCTATAGTAATTTTACTCTGGATCTCTGCCTATTCCCACATCCATATCATCAATTCCCCATCTATTTGCTGGAAGGAAATGATTCAGAGCAGAGTGGAAACAGTGGCTCAGTAAAGCAGAGCTCAGCTCCTGGGATCTCATCACTCCGAGAGGACAGGTTGGGATCACGCTGCTGCATCCCAAAGGAGTTTTGTCTCTGCAGTTCTGGCTCTGCACTGGCATTGGTGGCACCAAAGCAGAAAAAGCACCCTGGGACCAAATGCCAGCCTCCAAAAAGCACTGTCCAGCTAAATGAGGGTTAGTCAGCTATTCAGAGATTGACTTGTTTAAAGTACCAGGGATTTTTTTGCACATTTCTTCAGGAAATTCTTCTGCAGGACAAGGGGGAATGGCTTCACACTGAAAGAAGGGAAATTTAGGTTGGATATACAGAAGAAATTCCTCCCTGTGAGGGTGCTGAGGGACTGGCAGGCTTTCCCAGAGCAGCTGTGGCTGCCCCTGATCCCTGGCAGTGCCCAAGGCCAGGCTGGAGGTGCTGGGAGCACCTGGGACAGTGGAACGTGCCATGACAGGGGTGGCACTGGATGGGATTTAAGGTCCCTCCAACCCAAACCACTCTGGGATTCCATGTTCTGCTTCACACAGTAATTAACCAGTCTGCTGTTTGCACATCAGTAAAATGTGCATGATTTTCCTGCAGTTGCATGGCAGAAGTTGTTTAAAATTCAAGGTTTTTAAGCAAACACATCTGCTTTTAAAGACAGATCCCAGAGCAGTCGAAATAACTCTGCCTTGATCACCTTCCACCCTGGCCTGGCCTGCTTTGATCAGATAAATGTGAAGCATCATGTTTCTGTGCCCTGATCAGATATCTACAAGGCCTTCAAAGCAGCTTTCCAACACAAATATTGGAAATTGCCTGCTGTAATTCCCTATTAGTATTCCTTCTGAAAAAAAAAAGAAAAAAGAAAACTGCTGGCACAGCAAATATTTGAGTAACACTCCCGAAAATTCTCATGAAAACTGATCAGGAAAAGGGGCAAATACAAAGTGGCTCCCAGCTGAGAGGCTGAATAAGGAATTTTTCATTTTCCTTTTCCATATTTATTCATCTGCAGGCAGAGCAGCAGCATTAACAGCCACGTGTTGACAGGCACTTCATTAGCTGCACTCTGAAGTGAAAGCTCATCAGAAGATGGATATTTAAGAGACTGCCTGGAAAGAGGAGCTGGAGCTGAATCCTGGATCTATTGAGTGCTGTGGTTGCTGTTTGTGAGTTCAAAAGCAAAGCAGCTCCTGACTCTGAATTCTCCACCTATTTGAGTTTGGATTCTCTGTCCTAGCAAAAGGACAGTGCATTAAATGTGCCAGAAAAAGATAAATTCACTGCAGAATACCCCCAGAATCTTCAAACCAAGCTGACTTTGAGGCCAACCTGTTCCTTTCAGTTTTTTTGTACATCTCTCTTAATTTTATTTAGTTTCAAGCTGACTGGGTCACCAAGGTCTTTCAACAAAAGAAATATAAAATATTATTCTCATCCAAGAAAACTCAGTAAAGCCACATCAGCCTTTTATAGGTAAAGGATTCAACGCCCAAACAGGCATATTTTTTTTAAAAAATAAATTTCTTAGGACCAAATTCAGTTCTCTGCTGCAGTTTTCTGGAGGGAATTTCTGCAAAAACATTTGGTCTCAGCAGGATCCCAGAGCCAAGAAGTTCTAAGCAAGCAGAAAGGAGCTCATTTGAGAAAGTTCAGATTTCACAGGTTATTGTAATTCAGCACATTTGTGTAAAAGCTTTAATCAGCCCTTAGGATTTTTGGATGCAACAAAATCTGCTTGGAGTCTGGAGAATTCCCTACAAAACGTTCTCTCCCCTGACATAAAGAGCTGAGGGTGATGCAGGAGGAATTAAACCCAGCATTATCAGCTAATTATCACCATCAGCAGTGAAAGACAATTTTGGTCCGAGGTTTATGGCCTGAGGGGTTGGAGACCCCAGAACTGAAGATTTTTACAGGGTAAGAGATGCTCAGGGCAGGTACCAAATCCAATTTTTAGCTCTGAGAAGTTTCCCTTCTTGCATGTTTTTTCTCTCTTTTAAAAAGATCTTGATACTTCATTATGAAATGACTGAATTCAGATCAGATTTATTGCTGTTTTACACTGAAACTCCACACAGCAGCCTGCCAGAAAGCCTCTTCTTTCCCTTATCCTGATGTTCAGCACACATCCTGCTTCCCAACTCCGCTTTCAAATAAGCTGGACTTCTCAGAGGAGGAGCAATTCTGTAGCAATAACATCTACAGAAAAAACCTCTCTCTCCCTCTTCTTCCCAACTTTCCCCTCGTTCCAAGCACCTGATTTACTCAGTTCCCTGGGAAATTCAGTCCCAAGTGGCAAATGTTTGAAGCTTTGATTATTTTCAAGCATGTTTATGCTGTAAAATAGATATTTACTCTGTAAATATCTAAACACCTTCATTTTTTAAACATAAATAAAATATCCAAACTGCATCTCCAGTGGGAAAACACAGCTAAAGAAGCTGCAGGAGCAGCAGCCACTCAAAGGCATCTGGGTGTTCGGAAGCAGCAAATTTCTGGGATTTGAGCTTGAGCAGAAGCCCAGAAATGCAGTTTTTCAACATCCAGTGACTCAGTAAAGTTTCATACAGCCCTTCTACGAAATGAAATTAAGAATGAATAAACTTCAGCTTATAAGCCATAAGGATCATGGAAACAGGAACTGTGGTTTTAGAGTTAGCCCTAATTTTAGTTAAAATCTTTATTTAACCTGAGGAACAATGTTCTCTTCCCAAACAATTGAGACCCCAAACTTAAAGCCTGATCTGCTCTGTCACAAAACATTTTCTGCTGGGTAAGAACAGACCCACCTGATCCCAGCTTTTCAGACATTTACAGCAAAGAAATTAAAGTTTTGAGCACTTTATCAGTGATAAATTTCAGTAAAGAACGCTGTGATCTCTGGGGGATATTTAACAGAAGCATTGAACTGAGAGAGAATGTTCCTGATTCCATAAAAACAAGAAAAATACCACAGATCAATTCATGCCCCTGATGTTTAACATGGGAGCCGCTGCCCATGGTGGGTTTGGCTGGTTTGCTGCACCTTGGAATGAACTCCAAGCTCTGCAGGGAGCTGCCCAGCTCCCAGATCCTGTACCTTTTTCCAGAAGAGCTTGCTCAGGGGCAGAGGAGTGGCCGAGCCCTTGTCCTTGGTGGCCTCTCGGGGGGTTTCAGTGCTCACTCCCTGCGCAGGGGTTGTGGCCTCCGGAGCTTTCGGGTTCTGCTTGGCCGGCGGCTCTTGGGAGGGAGGGACATTTCTGTCTGCTTTTACACAGGTGACAGGAGGCTGCTCAGGGCTCTGGCAATAAAAAGGACATGGATATTGTGGAGAACAAATCCAGCACTCTCAGGCATCACCTGGGGCAGGTGAGCACCACCTCTCCCCACTCAGCTTCATCCCTGCCCTTCTTGCATCCCTGCTTCATTCAGCAGAGGAAGCAAAAGACACAGCAAACCCAGCACCCAGATAAAGAATTAAACCCCTTAGAGACTGAAAATGCCAGCAAGAATCCCCCTTTTCCTGCACAGCACAGATAATTCAACCCTCCTACTCACTTTGGTGTTGGTTGTCTGCTGGGTTTCTTTTGCAGCCTGAAGGGAAACAAAACACAAAGATGAGTCTGTCTGAGGCAACGGCAGAGCTGCAGTTCCACAGGCCAGGAATTGTCTGTGTCACTGATTATTTTCTTTTTAGTGAATGTGCGTGCAAGTCCTGGCTCCTGCAGCCATGGAAACTGATCCCTGGAAGAGTGGAGGGAATGCCAGGTCCCCTCCTTGGTGCTGCACCAGCCTGGTGCTGCATTCTTTGTGCTTGTTCTTTAAAAATATGCAGATTTTTATATGCATTCCCATAGTCACATTCCCATTCAGCTCAGATAAATCGTTACAGAGAATGGAAAGGTATTAACAGATTTTTCTGTGTCTGCAGCTTCCAGTGCTCACGGACACCAGAGCTGGGTGTTTTCCATGGGAATCCTGCACCATCCTCAGGGATGTGCTCCCATCACCTTCCAGCAGGAGGCTTGGATTTCTGGCATCCAAAACACAGGCAGCACACGAAATCCTGGAAAGCCAGGGCAGGGAGCAGCCCTGGATTTGGAATTCGGCCAGAGCTGCAGCTTTGCAGGTGCTGGAGGTTGGTTCCACCCATCCTCTCATAGTTTTGGCCATGGGATTTCCTTTTGTAAAAACATTCAGTGACGGGGCTCCTGATTTCATCAGAACACGCAAACCCAGGAGGATCCCGTTAAATTCCTCCTTTGCCAGGGATGTTCCCCTGCTTCTCTCACCCCTCACCCAGCAGGGCTCACACTGAAGAATTACCTGAGCTGTACCAAAAAAATCACCCAGCCGCAGCCTGAGGCTGCAGCAGCCTGGCACAGCCTTTGGGAAGCTCCCACAGAACAGGGGAGAGATTCTGCAGAGGAATCACTTTGCAGGAACCAAGAATTGTGGTTTTTTTTGTGGTCAGCCCTGACAAACAACATCCAGAAGGGTGAGGATGCCACGGGCTGGCTTCAGCGTTAGTGCTGGAAGTGAGGGATTCACCCTTCTCTTCCAAGGGAAAATTCCATAAATCAGCACGGTGATACTGCAAAATTAGCATGGAATGAGGGACAAACATGCATGGGTGGGAAGAGCATCACAAGCTGCTTTAAAGTTAGGATTTTGTAGCACAGGAGCCTGAAAAACAATGTTCCTGTCAACTCCCAGCCAACCCCAGCTGGATTGAGGCAGAGAAGTGTATTTTGGACATGCAGAGAAAGCACTGTCAGAGGAGACAGTGAGGTGTTTAACCACAAATATATCTATTAAAATGATCATTTCAAATTAAGGAATTGGTTATCTATCCATCCAGTTCATACAGCATGGAAAGCATTGCAAATTTAAAGATATAAACTATATTTTTAATTTTTTTTTTACTAGAAGTGGTAACTCCAGGGCCTGCTTATCACACCCCTGCTCTGAGCTGAATTCCCACTTTCAGTCAGCTTTACAAGCAAATTGTTGGCACCATTTTAATCCCTCTCCTTGATTTCTAAAAGGTCATAAATGATATCTCAGTTCCTGCTTCTGTATTTTGGATGTGGAAAGAAAACTGTGAAAAAAGAAAAAGCTATTTTAAAAGTAATATTTTATAAGAAAGATTTTACTGGTGTAAAAACTTATTGCTCTTGCATTCCTTCAAGGGAAGTGTTGTCATTCCAGACAAAAAGCTCTTTAAACTTTCATTGAATATTCCAGGGAATTTTCTCTCTATAACTTATTGCAAGATTAATTGCTGGCACTGAATCTTAAAAAATGCCAGCCAGGTTTGGTTTTTACCAGGAAGCCTTAACTCATTATGAACAAGTAATTAATATTTTAATTTTATTAAGAAATGAAGCTGAGATCTCGAATTTAAGTTTTTGGCAAGAACTGCACACTTTAATTCATTTGGAATCTTATTATTCCTTCAGCAATATGCAGATGACTTTTTTTTTCTCAGAAGTGAGATAGTGGAAAGAACATTCTTGGTTTTAAAATGTATTAAAGAATGGCCTATGCCCTTGATTATAAAGCCCCCTACTCACCAGAAATTCCACGTGGGTGTCTGGAGGGAGAATGAAATATTAATTAGGTTCCTCCCCCACTAGAAGGGTCTCTGCTTCTGCATTCTCTGGCCTGAAAAGCTGCAATTCTCTGCTTCCCTGCCATGATTATCTTCAGAGAGTGCAGAAATCCCCAAATATAGAGCTTGAGACCAAAAGGTTTTGGTGATTTTTGGGTTTTAATATTGTTCTCTGAAGCAGCCATTTGCTTGACTGTGCATTTTAAGCACTTTAAAGTACCCATCAAACCCAGATGTTTTTCTACTTCAAACTAGGACTAAAATAAATTAATTTGCTTGTTTGCAGGGATCCCTATTTCTGCAGGAAATTCCATGTTCCAGCCTCCTCTGTACCACACCAGATGCCCCAAAACACCAATTTTAGCCAAGTTCTGGTGCACATTAATGACATAAAACCCAACTGTGGCTGGGCTGAGCTCCCAAAGCTCTGTGGTTTCAGGCTCTCTTCACCTCTACACAATTCATTGTTTGTCAGCACCTCTGATTTTATTTTGGTTTTGAGTGGCCAGGAGGGGGTTTAGTCCATGTTAGTAACCAGGCAGGAACTGGTACAGGAACAGTTATAGGAATTGTTATAGGAATTGCTCCAGGAATTGTTATAGGA